ATTATCGGCTGTCGGACGCCGTTGGACAGTCCGGACAGTCAGGCGAGGTCGGTGGCTCGAGTCGGTTCGGTGTGTCCCGTGCCGTCGTCAGTCGGCGTCGGCGTTCATTTTGGCCGATTCGACATGTAGACCCTGGATGTTTGGACATGATTATATCCATCCAATAGTTGTTGATTTGTTTATTATTATTATTATTTCAATCTGGACCATAGTGGTGGACCAATCAAATCTCTTTTTCCAAGTAAATGAGAGCTTAACAGGCACAGTTCACGTGAAATTTTAAGACAATAGGGTCATAATGACATGAAGTAAAAATAGTAATAATGACCACATGTTCATATTATAATATCTTTGGGGCAGACTGATCCATATCTACTTCTAAAATGTGTTGCAAAAGGCTCAGTGTTTGGCCCTGGGTGTGCTAACAAAGCAGTAATTGTGTGCTGGCATCAGTGTAAGGCAGGTGTTTCAATAGCCTTGAGGCTGTGCTGAATTCAGCCCTAATGAGTGAAAGTAGAGATTGTGGAATGGACCTGGGGATTTGCTGCTGGAAATGCAGATCAGAGAGAAGAAACATAAAGGAAGGAAGAACAAAAGATAGTGAAACTGGAGAAAGAAGATGAAGAAAAAACACTGGCAATAAATTCACAAAGAAAGTACAAAGATGGAAATAAAAGCAGATTGCGTATTCCACTATTTTATCCCAAGTGAATTAAGTAAGTAAGTAAGAATCCTCAGATAGTCTGGTACCCATCCCTGCAAAATTATCTTTTGAATAACAGCCAGCAAGGGCTATGTTCAGAGAAAGTTGGGCTCAGCAAAATTAGATTCCTTGTCTCTCTTTACCCTCTGGTATCACAAATCAGCCAAGTTGATATGAGTGTTCTGTGTGGGGTTAAGTGATGTCATGTTATTACGGTATTTCTGGGTACTGAAGTTCAAATATTTCAGACCGTTCTTCCTCACTGCCATTCGGAGGTGCCAGCATATGAAATTGCCTATTGCTGCTTTGAACATTATGTACTACAGAGTCACATACATTTTTATGAAGAAATATGAACTCTTTTCTATTCCAGCCATATTGTTATTAGCCTAAACCCTTTGTCCTCGGAGTAAAATTTGTTTTGTCTCTTTTTTTCTGACTCAACAGCAATTCACAAAGTAGAAGGTCTGAAAGTTTGCTCTACATTTTTGGACCGCTCAATAATTCATAATGAGGCTGCACAAACCCATCCTGAATTTATATCCTAAATTTACTGTAGGCCATATCGTGGCAACAGCGGTATTCTAATGAAGTGTTCAGAAACGTAATGCCTGACATAAAAAACTGCCCTGCAGACAGCCCTCAATTTCGATTTTTCTCAATTTGGGCCTTTTTGTTAGAAGCTGCTACATTGAGAGGCTTCTGAACAGATCAGTCACAATCAGTGAAAAACTATTTTGAGAGCATAAATCAGTTACATGAAAGCAAAATCCATTATCTTTAATTATTGCAATTACCATTTTCTCGTGAAATGATTGAGTTTCCTTTTCCGCTTCCAAAACTCAGGGTAATCGGTGTAGGAAATGGAATTACTTTAGGATATGAAAATCTTCTTCTTTTGTCTTGTACCATAAGAATGCAACAGGGTTGTGAGTTGGATTTTCTTGGCTTTAGGCCACCAAAAAATTTTTTTTGTTTTTATGTGGGGGAGACCTGGGCTGCTGCAACAAGAGCCCAGCCCTGGTACATGCCAGCTCTACATGGTGTGCCATCTGGGTGCCCCCCCCTCCTAAAATGAGCTATTCTTTGAAAAGTGAAAACAGTTATTAGTTACATGCAATTAGAGGGCTGCAATGGGATTTGGATCCTGCGATTCCCAATGCAGATGTCGCGGTAATGGTCGGTTTTGATTTTACTAATCAAATCAAAATTATCTTATGCCCAAACTCTGGCATTTGAAGATGTTTCTCAGTTGTTACTGACATATTAAAATAACATCTTTTCACCTGAGGGACAGGAGAAGACACAAAATCTCTATTGTGTGGGAGAGAATGGTCAGAATGCTTGCAGGAGCGGGCAGGAGTGGACAGACACACAGCAGGGGTCAACACACAGACACACAGTGGTAGTCCAGCGCAGGGCTCTAATATGCATTTCAATATCTATTGTCCATGATACCATTTTAAAAGATACTTTGGGTGTAAATTTGATTTACATTTTCTCTTTAAAATGTATGTAGGAGATGGCTTGATGTCAAAATTGATGTCAGATATTTATTTTATTTCTTTCCACCATCCAATTGTGTAAGTTACATTTATCTCATTTCTTAACAGTAGAACTAGTAATCTTGGAATCTAATTGGTTAACCAATCATGCGAGAGACCTAAAGAATGAATTCCCACACATGAAACACATGCAAGGTTGCGTTTTTTATATTCACATCAGGCTGTTCTGTGCACCTTTGAGGCTTGGCAGCTGTAACAGTAGTGTGTCAAACTGCTTCTTATGTGAGCTCTGGATTGTTGCTAATTAACATGTAGACAGCTCCCCACCTTGATTCAATTGGCACAGAAGTACATGATGTTCCCCAGATTGCAGAATTGCATCCTTGATTGGTAGACGATGGAAACTGGTGTGGAAGATAAAAATAATCCCCCCAAGAGTGTTTTTCTGTGATTATGGGTTGTGCTGCTAGTGCGGCAAAGGTATGAGGCAAAGATGAGAAAATGAGCCACGTCTCAAGTTTTCAAGTTAAGACAGCTGCGTGTATAGGAAGATGTATTACTCTATGGGAAACATCAGTGTGGTTAAACCAAGCTGCTATGTTTGACCAACCATATTGCTTTGGATGAAACAACAGGCTTATAATAGGAAACTAAGCCAAGTGAAACAGCATGGAATGAAAACCAGCTTTGCAATTATTAATTAGACTACTTCTTCTACTATAAGTAGCTTAATTAGACCAATAACACCAGTGCTCCCATTAAGTCAGAGTCCAGCAGTGTGCTTTAAAGAGTATGTTAAGAGTTAATTCAAACCACAGGCAATCAGTTTCACTGATGAAATCTTTCCTCTCTGGTAAAAGGTCCAGAAAGTTGGAGAAACCAATCATCTTATTTGACGCGGAGAGCCAAACAATGTCTCGCTAAGATTTGCGAGGTGTGTGCGCCGGCTCCTCAAAGTTCAGTTTCCAACTTCTGTCTGGCTTTTCGTTGCTCTACTTCTGTTGCCAGTGCAGAAATGAAGATGCCAAAAAGGCAAAGACATAAAGTTTGTATTCCACATTGTGTCTTTTAAATCCAGCTTTCTGCTTCTACCTGTAAAACTCTGTTCCCTCTCCTTGCTTATTGCCTTGCGCTGTCAACTGGGGATTAAGTTGGAAAGCTGATACGCTAAGAATATTTGACATTCACATCATGTAAAATATATAAGTAAATGTAGATTGTTTTCGGTTACTAACATCAAAGTGGCACAAGTCCTCACTGGGGCAAATGACTAAGAAATTCTGTTTGGAAGCATCAAGACAGGTTAAACAGGATTGGAAACATTTTGGAAAGAAGGGAACGGATCATTTGTCCTCTGTGGTTATGGCGAGGATTTAATTGCTGCCAGGCTTTGACAATTCAGCATGAATAAGACAAGTATAACTGTTGAGTTTATTGTAATTCACAAGTAAGTTTTTAGCTCCCAAAGTTCCTTTCTCATCCAAACCAAATGAGTTGCAATCAGTTTCGGCATTGTTTGATTGACAAAGCTGACTAGGTTTGATGCTAGCAGTACATTACTTTTGAGTGCTGGAGCTGACTGCAACTACAAGCCTGACAATATGCCTCCATTACTTTTGATTGGCAGGGATGAACACAGACTCGTGTCTCGCAATTCCGGTGCTGATATTGTGTCAGGAGGCAGCCATTTGAAGAGCTCCGAGAACACAAACGGAATAAAAATTGGCATGTGGCAACTTTGAGGGATAAACAACAGAGAATTCAGATACTTTGTGACCGTACATGAAGTTTGAAAAGACACTCTGGTGTGTTCAGACATATATAACTTTCCCCTCTCTATTTGGACTTTGAAAGCTGATACAAACAGACTAGGCTTTGGAGTGAAAGATGTTTTCAGGGCGAATTACCTATGAGGACGCTGAATACACTGGACAGACACACAAAGCAATAGTACACACATGCAAACACAGACGCACACTCATGCAAACTTGGGAAACTTTGGACCTCTATTTTTATTTAATATCAGAAAAGGTTTTTTTTTTTTTTTTTGATCAAGTAGACTTGAGCCAGATCAACGATGCTTTCACCCCAGCAAATTACTCCTTAGCAGTACAATCAGGCAAACAATGGGCTTCATGTGAGAACATTTTTACATTGTTATCCTACACCTACACTTTCCTTTGAGGTTTGGTCAAATGAGTCTTTCAAGACAGATTCACTCTGTTAAGAGAGTTTCGGACATGGACAAAAGAATATTACAGGCAACAGTAGCCATGATGATGATGATGGAGTGAACAAAATTCAGTTTTTATTTAGCTTGGTCAAAATTCATTCAGATTTTGGAATTTATAATTCTTAAGTTAAACAAGTGTTACCCCCGGTGTGTAAATATTTTTTGTCCCTAAGAGAAAATCTAAATATGTAAAAACTTATGCAACAAGTTCCCTTGAATCACTGAAGGACAAATCATACAAGTGGTTCTTCCTTAAAAACAAGAAAACATCACCTTAAAATTGGCACATTTACAGTATTTATTTAAATAATGATTAATTTTAACATTTTATTGTGCATAATAATAATCAGTGATAATGTATTAGATTGTTTCATGTGCCTTCAAACACAGAAATGTGACAATGCTTGTGGTCTTTTTTGTGAAATGTCATTTTATTCACCAGCTGAAACCTTTAAACTTATGAGCCTATTCTTATTTGGGCTGCACAAAATTAAAAATAAAATCTTTGTTTTGTCTTTTCTTTTTTTAATTTCCCTTCTTTTCTTGCTTCTCTCAGGTAATGTTGGCTGCTTCCTATTGGTCCTTGCTGGCACCGGCAATCGACATGGCGGAGGACTCTGGGAAGTACGGCTCATTCGCCTTTTTGCCTGTGGCAGTGGGATTCACACTTGGAGCGGCCTTTGTTTACTTTGCTGACCTGGCCATGCCCCTGCTGGTAAGAACCTGATATAGAGACTCTCACCCATACCATCACACCATCATCCAGTTACAGCCATTATGTTCTTATTCAGAGCACTAGAAGGACATATAGACAAAGATTTTTAGAGCACTGTACCATTGAGGAAATTCTCTTGGACAAGGGCCAGATTCATAGATAAACTGTAAAGACAAACCAGTATGAACTCGATTGATTCCTTGAAGATGTGTAAGGTCATTGCCGAAGCAAAGAAAGAATGATGGCAAGGCTGTGTGTATACATCAATAAGGAGTCCATTAGTAACCCAATAATTTATCCGATGTTCTGTGTGTTCATTTATTTCTAACTTGTGCAGTAGAAGATGGAAATGGTCAATTTTAAAAGGAGATAAGAAGCTTTTAATTTTGAAAGCAGTGAGTTGAAATGACTGCAGCAATCTGAACTTAGTTTCACAATTGGATAAGTTGAGATATTTCCCAAACCTCCATTTCATTTTCTACCAAACTAGTATATTATTTCATGTTCTTTTCTTAGTGACTCAATTTGGAAGGTTCCTTTCAATGTCAGTACTCAGTTTTTGCTGGGATGAGTACGTAATTATATGATCCTTTTTTGGAAACTTCCTCAGAAATTACTTTCAAGAGAAATATTAGGGAATCAAGGATGCAGACAGCATTACTCAAAATTATTATAAAAGCTGACTTGATTAATTAGGGTTTCTTGTGTGTGACTGTCACATTGACTTGTACACAATAGAATGGGTTAGTCAATGTCTGAAAGAGATAACAGCTTGAAACAAAGTACTTGAGTTCTGAGGAAGTGATTAGCTTCATACAGCCTCTAAATGACTGTGACTTTGTCCATGTTTGCTGTTGTTTTCGTAAATCTCTGACTTGACTTGGACTCTTGGCTTGTTTTGACGTGACATTTCATCGAGCTGCAAATCTAATTTGTATTGCTCTACTTTGTGTTTAGTTTAGTGCTAGTAAAATAGATGATTTGAAAAGATGAAATGTTATACCTGCTAACTATCCACGTGTTAGCATTCTTGCTCTGGCTGCTTGGCCTCGAAATCGATCTTAATGGTTTAACTATCATCCTGGATTCTACAAAATCATGCTATTTATGATCCATTCACTTTGAAAAATGAGGCAAGGTTGTTATTGTTTTAACATGATTATCTGTGCAACCCTGCATATCATGTAAGGTATTTATATTAATGGTCCTTTGGCAGGTGAATGAGAACGTTAACTAAGGGTACTGACATGTCAATATTTTGAGATGTGCAGACCTTTAATTACAAAAATCTGAAGGGACAGATTTAATGATTCTCTTTTGACCCTTTCTAAAATACAAAATCATCATCATAATGTTGCACACGTCAACAATATCTGATGATTAAATCAAAACATCTCTGAGCCTTCTTCTGACCCTAACAGAACAGGAAAGGGTAGAGACGGGACTGAGAGAGACAGAAATGTGATGTAGCCACTACAGCCCGAGCAGCAGAGAACAGCTGTTGCCTTAAGCTCCTGCAGTCACACCAGGACAGTAGCACTGACACGAATTGCATATGAAGGAGGGGCTGACATATCACCGTCATGCACACTCATAAAAGATGACACACACTCATGTAAAGACAACACACACACACACACA